GGGATTTTAAAAAATGGGTTTTTTTATTTTAAAGGAAAATTTCATATAATTTAAATTTCCTTAAAATTTATACAGATGGTTTTTAAAAAACTTTAAAAGGTTATGTGGGTATAGGAATATATATCCCAGAGTTTAAAAAATGTATTCACAAAAGAATATCAGATCAATTGTCGGTATTTACAGCAGAAATGGTGGCAGTTATATTAGGCTTGCAATGGGTGGAGGAGATTCGACCAATCAGGGTGGTGGTGTGCACAGACTCTAAAGCAGTAGTGGAAAGTATTAAGGGAGAAGGAAATAATAGAAAAGATTTGGTATTAGAAATTCATCATATTTTATTTAGACTATATAGGGGTGGCATTGATGTTTGGTTTTGTTGGGTGCCGGCACATGAAGGAGTAAAAGGCAATGAAAAGGCAGATAAATTAGCTAAAAGGGCTTTAGAGGGGGAAATAACGATTTCAATTCCTTTTGGAAAAGGGGAAGGGAAATCACTTATTAAAAGTAAAGAAATGGAGGAATGGCAAAAAATATGGAACGAAGATAGGAAAGGAAGAAGATTATATGAAGTGCAAAAGTCAGTTCGAATTCGAAACATTAATGAAAGAAACAGAAGAGAAGAAATAATAGTTAGTAGATTAAGAATAGGTCATACCTACTTAAATGACATGCTTTACTTAATAGGGAGGAAAAATAGTGAGAAATGTGAGAAATGTGGTGAAAAAGAAAATGTAGAACACATACTGATGAACTGTAAGTTATATGAACACGAAAGGGAAAAATTAAAGAGAATAGTTAGAAGTATAGGGCATGAATGGAATCTTAAAGGAATATTAGGAAATGAAGGAAACATAACAGATATTCATAAACTAAGGAAAGCATTGTTTTTGTATCTTAAGAATACAAAATTAAAAAATAGAATCTAATAGATGTGAAGTAACGCTGCTACACACTCATGTACAGTAGGTGGCGGTATGCACCTTAAAGTTGCTTGTGATCCGCCATAATAGAAGAGAAGAAGAAGAAGAAGAAACTTCTAGTTTGATCTAGTTTTCCTGCACGAGGAAATTGTGTTGATAATACTTTGACTGCAAGCTCACAGTTATGCTGTAAATTGGAGTTTATGTTGAAACTTTAGGATTGTTTTCTCAGTCAGCCCATCTGTGTATAGGATTTCCTAAAAGCGCGTTCACGAGTCTACGGAAACCGCGGCAGACCAAACCAGATGAAAGTGCGCATTCAGCGTCTGCTCTGCCGATAATGCAAGCGTAGAAGAAGAAATGTGCTGTTTACCTGTGCAAAGAAAGAAACAACGAAAGAAAAATGTCTGAGGACTTCAGTGTTGAGGAAGAGCATGAGTTCTTTGCCGAGCTGAATGCGCACTTTCATCTGGTTTGGTCTGCCGCGGTGAACGCGCTTTCAGGAAATCCTATACACTACTGTTTATGCTCTAAAAACATTCTAAATGACTTCGTTTCAAGTAAATTCTGGACGCTACCCACTCAGGACCCTTGGAATACATTGGACGAGCAGTATGGAGGAATATTGACACGTTTATTGTGGACTTTTATGGACCTTTCTGCCTCGGGCGCCATAGACCTCCATTATTTGAATGTCAGCAGACAGCAAGAAGCCTCCCAGATCTCCAGATGCATTTGAGATATCAAAAAAGTACTCCAGTGTGTTGTTCAGCATGGGGGTGAGTAGAAAATGAAGGCTAATCATGTTTTGGGTGTACTATTCCTTTAAGATTTTACTTTATCACAACCTTTTACTACAACCACCAGTTTTAGTGAGTGAGGCAGACACCCTGTCTATTTTTAAGGGTAGGCTTAAAACTTTTCTTTTTTTTTTTTTTATAAATAAATAAATAAAAATAAAAAAATAAAAAACGTTCCTTTTTGATAAAGCTTTATAGTTAGAGTTTCCCAGGTTATCCTGAGCTATCTCTATAGTTATGCTGCTATAGGCTTAGACTGCTGGAGGACATAGGGACCTCTTTTTCATCATTCTGCTTCATTCTATCTCTATTCTCCCAATCTGCAGAATCTGTTAGTTCAATCTCTAACGTTCTGCTCTCTCTGCTTTTTCTCATAGTAGCTTCATCTGGTCTGTTCCTGTTTGGCTGCTACTCCATCATGCAGAGAAACATCAGCTGTGCTGCTGCCATCAACGCCTTTGTTTATAGATGTTGGAGATCGGCCTGTTTTTCAGTGTTGTCCTGTTTCTCTGACCGTGACTGGCTGGATGTGCTCTCTTCATCCTTTGACATGGGAGCTGGCTCAGAGCTCCTCTGCCTGGCTGTGTGTTTCCTGGACGGGCCCCCCTTTACAGTTACTTTTTGTATCTCTGCTTCTGTCTCCTTGAACCCCAGTTGGCCTCAGCAGATGGCCGCTCACACTGAGCCTAGTTCTGCTTGGTGGTTTCTTCCTGTTAAAAGGGAGTTTTTCCTCTCAATTGTTGCTACAAGCATGCTTAGTGTGAAGCATTGTCTTCAAGTCAATGAGTCGATGCAATGAACTGGTTTTCCTTGGATAGAAAACTTTGAATCAATTTGATTGTATGATCTGGTGAACTGTAAAGTGCCTTGATATTACGTGTTGGGAATTGGCCCTATATAAATAAACTGAATTGAATTTTGAGCTTTCGGTCAGATATACTTTTATCAGATCATATAGAATACAAAATGAGCAGACGGATTAAAAACAAATCAGTCCCGCCCTGATCATTTGCACTACATACTTTAGCGTTTGGAGGCCTACTCAGAATGCTACAACATCATTGATCAGAGTGAAAAAAGATACACAATAAAGCACTTTTCAAAAACAAGACATTTTTTCAGGAAAATTAAGGAATCTCTTTTAATGGTCACTTGTGGATTAATTTCAGATGGTTTACAAAAGAAGTAAATAGCAAAGTGCCTACATATCTCTGAAATTTTCATTCAAACATTTAACATCTCTGTCCTCATTCACTCTAATTGTAATGACTGAATCCTTAGTAACGATTATTTGGGTTATTAAAAGATAGGTGTACTTGGGTCGAAAGACTAAAAAATATTCAATAGCATTAGAAACACACAACAAACTTTTGAAACTAATATTCAACAAGTTCTTATAGAGATAGGAAGGAAGTGAAAATATATCAGGTGCTATTTAGTGCTATTACCAAAAAAAAAACAAAGATAAAATTCTGAAAAAATCTGAAATCTCAGATAAAAGTATGATATATATGCCCTCTGATCAAAGGATTTTATATATTTTTTTAATCTATATTACAGTTTTAAACAAGTTTTCAAAATGTAACTATTCTTATGATGACATTCTGCTCAGATCTACTGTGTACAATTTCCAGACTTGTACACCAGAGGGCAGCGCTGCTTTAGAGTACAGGTGCTGGTCATAAAATTAGAATATCATGAAAAAGTAGATTGATTTCAGTAATTCCATTTAAAAAGTGAAACTTGTATATTATATTCATACATTACATACAAACTCATATATTTCAGATGTTTATTTTGTTTAATTTTGATGATTACAAATGACAACAAATGAAAATCTCAAATTCATCATATCAGAAAATTAGAATATTGTGAAAAGGTTCAAAATTGATGGCCCCTGGTGCCACACTCTAATCAGCTAATTAACTCAAACCACCTGCAAAAGCCTTTAAATGGTCTTTCAGTCTAGTTCTATAGGCTACACAATCATGGGGAAGACTGCTGACTTGACAGTTGTCCAAAAGACGACCATCGACACCTTGCACAAGGAGGGCAAGACACAAAAGGTCATCGCTAAAGAGGCTGGCTGTTCACAGAGCTCAGTGTCCAAGCACATTAATAGAGAGGCGAAGGGAAGGAAAAGATGTGGTCGAAAAAAGTGTACAAGCAAGAGAGATAACCGCACCCTGGAGAGGATTGTGAAACAAAACCCATTCAAAAATGTGGGGGAGATTCACAAAGAGTGGACTGCAGCTGGAGTGAGTGCTTCAAGAACCACCACACACAGACGTATGAAAGACATGGGTTTCTGCTGTCGCATTCCTTGTGTCAAGCCACTCTTGAACCACAGACAGCGTCAGAAGCGTCTTGCCTGGGCTAAAGAGAAACAGGACTGGACTGCTGGTGAGTGGTCCAAAGTCATGTTCTCTGATGAAAGTAAATTTTGCATTTCCTTTGGAAATCAAGGTCCCAGAGTCTGGAGGAAAAGAAGAGAGGCACTTCATCCACGTTGCTTGAAGTCCAGTGTAAAGTTTCCACAGTCAGTGATGGTTTGGGGTGCCATGTCATCTGCTGGTGTTGGTCCATTGTGTTTTCTGAGGTCCAGGGTCAACGCAGCCACATACCAGGAAGTTTTAGAGCACTTCATGCTTCCTGCAGCTGACCAACTTTTTGGAGATGCAGATTTCATTTTCCAACAGGACTTGGCACCTGCACACAGTGCCAAAGCTACCAGTACCTGGTTGAAGGACCATGGTATCCCTGTTCTTAATTGGCCAGCAAACTCTCCTGACCTTAACCCCATAGAAAATCTATGGGGTATTGTGAAGAAGAAGATGCAATACACCAGACCCAACAATTCAGAAGAGCTAAAAGCGACTATTAGAGCAACCTGGGCTATCATAACACCTGAGCAGTGCCACAGACTGATCGACTCCATGCCACGCCGCATTGCTGCAGTAATACAGGCCAAAGGAGGCCCAACTAAATACTGAGTGCTGTACATGCTCATACTTTTCATGTTCATACTTTTCAGTTGGCCAACATTTCTATAAATCCTTTGTTTTTATTGGTCTTCAGTAATATTCTAATTTTCTGATATGATGAATTTGAGATTTTCATTTGTTGTCATTTGTAATCATCAAAATTAAACAAAATAAACATCTGAAATATATGAGTTTGTATGTAATGTATGAATATAATATACAAGTTTCACTTTTTAAATGGAATTACTGAAATCAATCTACTTTTTCATGATATTCTAATTTTATGACCAGCACCTGTATAGCCGCATCAGGAGGTGGAGCTTTGTTTCCAGAGCTGGCTTTCTGCCTCTGAAGATGACTTTTCGCTTCTAGTCCAGTTCTGGTTTCTCCTGCTGCTCTCTGGAGGCCAGGAAGTTCTCCACCTGGGGAAGGAGTAACAGACTGCTTTATGACGGACAGACACACAGATACTCTGGGTTGTAGAAATGCCAAGCCTCACACGGGAAGCACATTGCTGCCATCTAGTGGTCGAGGTAACGCCTAATTTTGCTTATTTGCAGATTAAATACCCATGTCTCTATTGTCCTTTATGAACCATTAGAAGTTATCTTTCATGGCTTTCTTTCACTTTTTTTAGTCTAAACAGACCAAAATGTTTTATAAAAGATGTGGAAGTTAATGGTGAACCCCAAACTTGATAACAGAGCGTTAGATCATCTGCAGGGAGAAGGGGGGGTGTTTGAACCGTAGGATAGAAGACGCTAACGGAGCAAGCAGATTACTGTGGAGTAGTTCTTCTCCTCGTGTCTCCCAGATCTATGCTCATCATCTTCAGAAGTTGCCATTTAGCATCTTCTGCTTTTAGTTTCAGTCCGGTACCAGACCAGCTTATGAACTCTGACCTCTGAATTGTTCTGGAATAGAAAGGCCACTGGACCTCAGTACTGCTGGAGCTGCTGACACGTTCCTACCTCCATCAGAGACTCTTTAATTTCGAAGGCCACGTTGTCTTTCTTGGCCTTCATGTCCTTCAACAGCCTGTGGAAGGACAGCGGCCCCAGAGGCTTCAGAGAGCGGTCCGCCTGGAAACAAAAACATTCAGAATGTCTGGAAGCTTAGATCGTTAGGCTTTTTTCATAAAACGGGTCTCCTGTTTTTCTTCACAGATTAATCCAAATGCTTTTTCAGGAAACTTGTTGCATGTGAAACATTTTATGACATATAAAATAATGCCTTGGATTAGCTTTAATGCAAAACTAATCTTGTTAACTAATCTGATGGATTTCATGTTATTATTTTTTGTATTTTTCCTGAATTTCAGGTCTCTGCATTGGTTAGGAACCACCCAGAACTAGAATGAAATATGCTGACTCATGATGGATCAGAAAGGAAATGATGCAGAGGGGATGGGATGGGCTGGACCAGACAGCACAGGGGGCACAGCAGGGCCATGCAATCTTAGGACCACGCTTCGCCATGAGCTGTACCTGGAACTCCGACCACAGGTCCTTTCCTGATATGTGCACTACTGATGGGATATGGTGGTGGTCCATGAGGTGATAGGTCACCGAGATCCAATCTGGCAGCAGAAATATGACCTGGGCCATGTCTTTGTCTGCTGGTTTAGATTGGTCCCTATGGAAACGATCCACCACTTTCTGAAAGGGATGAGAAATATGAGCCCATGCATCAACCCAAAGGTGGAAACAATTACAGCAGACGGTCTGAGTTCTATAGAACCAGGCGGGAAGATGCAAGTCCATGAAGAGGCAGGTCAGCCAGCCTTCCTACCTGCACACCAAGGGCCTCCAGCTTGGACCTTGGACGATTGGCGTTCAAAGGCTGATCGTCAAGCCTGAAGGTCACGCGTCTGGAATACAGGAAGTCACTTCGGTGCACAAAGGTTTCCTCCAGGACCTGTGGCGATACCACTCTTTGCTGCACACCAGGTACCCCTTCGTAGGTTTCAAACCGCATCATCCGTTCAATACCAGAACTCACTGGTTTCCAACTGTGAACTGAACAGAGCAGAACCAGAATTAGAACCAATTTGTGGTTGCCGTGACCCGGATGACTGAGAATTTACACCGGCATTCCTGAAAAGCTTTCTGATAGTGATCGTCCTGGAGCCAAACAGAAGTGCCTAAACATCAGAAGACAGTCAGAGTTTGATCTGATGAAGTACCCAGCAGGGTTCAGCATAGGCCAGGACTATGACTTCAGACCAGACTTGGTTTCGTCAGAAAGGATTGGTGACATGACTTGGAAGTGACTCGATGCTCCCTTCAAAACAAAGTTACTAAGCATAACAATAAGGAAAAATACCGATCCACATTGTTTCTTTGCTCATGTCACCATTTTTGGAAAGGCTTATTCTGCCTCTTAGATTTGGACCCAAGATTCTGCAGCTAACCGAAACGGCTTGTTTAAAAACCACTGTGCCCAATTCAGCAAACTCTGCTGTGACTTGATGTAAAGCTATTGCATGATAATAGCCTCACAACCATCATTTGAAAAAATGATTTCTGATGATTTGTGTTCTTGATTATTAAATGATTAAGAAACTCCCAAAAATCAAATCTATATCAAATTATACAAATAATTAGCCGTTTAATATCAGCGGTAACCATGTTTGACTGTATGAAGTAAGCAGACATGCTGAATGACGACAGCGCTCTAAGAGTGCTTTGGTGATGGGTCGGAGATTTAACACACTAGAACCAAAATGTTCCACTCAAAACCAAGCATGACCTGCTTCTGCTTTGCTCACAGAAGACAAATTAGTCCATTCCGTCTATAGTTCTCGTTCAGGAGAAGACTTACATAAAAGGGTCCCAAATCCATCAGAGTTGAAGCGCTCAGTAGTGACGTTCTCCACCATGTTCATTTCTCTCTCCTCCAAATCATCACTTCTGTTTTGGTACCACTCTTTTACCCTGGTGACCTCTGTGCCTGAAACATAGGATCATAGATGTAGGCAGAAGGAACAACCTCTGAACATTAAATTGTTTCTGTCTGACTAACAGTCCAGGTCTTTGTAGGTGGTTAATCTGCGGAGGAGGCCATCTTTGGTCAAAGCTGGTGAAAACCTCTCCAGCTTTGCCTTTATGAAGCGCGTCTCCTTCTTTCCCCCTGGAAACCTTTTCTTCAGGTCTGAATGACAGCAGGACAGATGTTTGAGGTTTGGAGAACTTCTTGAAATAAAATAATCAGTCATGCTTCTGCATTTACCTTCATGTGAGATGTTGATGTAGCTGACCCAAGACCTGTGGAGGACAAACTTCCTGGGAACAATGCCCTATTAAACAAGAGTTTACAGTTAATGGATGAATGGATGGTGGATGGATGAATGGATGGATGGGTAGATGATGGATGAATAGATAGATGATGCACGGATGGGTGGGTGGATGATGTGTGGATGTATCATGGATGCATGAAGGGTGGGAGGATGATGGATGGATGGATGGATGATGGATGGATGGGTAGATGATGCACGGATGGGTGGGTGGATGATGGGTGGATGTATCATGGATGCATGAAGGGTGGGTGGATGATGGATGGATGATGGATGGATGGGTAGATGATGGATGAATAGATAGATGATGCACGGATGGGTGGATGGATGGATGGATGGATGGGTGGATGGATGGATGGATGGATGGATGGATGGGTAGATGATAGTTGATTGAAGTTGTGTGACGGTTGAATGAAGCTAGGCGATGATTGGATGACGGCTGTATGAAGCTAAGTGATGGTTGGCTGATGGTTGTATGGTGTTAGATGATGGTTGATTGGAGGTTGGATGGTATTGGATGATAATTGGATGATGGTTGAATGAAGTTGGATGATGTTTAATGATAGTTGAATGAAGCTGGGTGATGTTAGATGATTGTTGTACGATGGTTGTATGATATTGGATGATTGTTAAATGAAGTTGGATAATGGTTAGATGATGTAGGATGAGTGTAAGATGATAGTTGGATGGCGGTTGGATGACCTGCATCAATTGGGTCATTTCCTTTGAACCTTCTTTTTCCCTTCTCAGGACCAGTTTGTCCAACTGCTGTTGGCCGAGTGCTTTTTGTAAGACCTTCTCCCAGAGGTTGCGGTCTTCAAAATTGAAGCACAAGTCCTGCTGACAGCAGAAGCATCCCGATCAGAGGGCTGATGTTCTATGTGGACCGGTTCTGACCGGGATCAGCTGCTGTGGACTCACCTTGCAGCCATCGATGCACCGCTGCATGTTGACATAGCAGTTGTAGTTGTCCCATACGCTCTCTATGGACTGGAAGTTCTTGTCGTTTGTGGGAAAACTGCTTCCTGTGAGGGGGTCGATGAAGAAGTTCTCCTCGATGTCGCATTTTCCCGACAGAACCAGAACCCAGCAGTGAATCCGAAGTCCTTCCAGGGGGTCAGGAAGACGTCGACTTTCAATCTGTTTGTGAAAACAAAAGCTAGAAGTTTGATGAGGTGCTGAGAAGAAGTCAGACGGGAACCACCTGACATAAAACAGGAAGCTGTTTGCTAACTTCCCTCTATGGAGCAAAAAGCTCCAACCCAACCTGGACCGAGAGGACCACCTCAATAACTGCACCAAGCAGCCTCTGACCCTCCAGTTGCCCAGAGGAGCTCTGTGAGGCAGGCTCCTGCATATTACTGGACATTATCATTCCATGATGCTAAACTGTGTTGAGTGTTGTTATTTTGAACCTGAGTGGAAGCCTGAATGGAGTGAGATTGCCACCTGCTGGTGAGCTTTTTCAGCACTTTGGAAACTTCAGAGCAACATCCTTGTGAGTGGCTGCATGTAGCTGGTGCTGACAGTTTCCTTTATGGTTGATGTTCTTTACTAACTTATCATAAGTAATCATTTGGTGTTCATTATGTTACACCAGTTTAATTTGTGTTGCGTAATCATATTTGAATTTATTAGACTGTTATTAGTTATTATGCTGCATCCTGTTAGCTTCTCACTTGCAAATATGCTGTGTGCTTAGTGAGGTGTTCCCATTATTTTAATGCTGTTTTATGTTTGGTTGGTAACTCTAGTATCTTAGATTTATGATCTGTTATTAGTCACCATTTTGACTTGACATGCTCCTGTTAAACATCTCAGTTGATTTAACTTGTTTGTAAGCCATTCCCATGAGCTGTTTGATAGTTAATAGGCATGTAAAGTGAGTTTATGGCAGCAGATGTCACTGCTGCAATATGTATCCTATGAGAACTCATGGTCTTAATCTTGTTGTGATTTAGACCACTTCTTCTTCTATAAGTCTCTTCATCTTTTACATGTTGTACAACTACTCAAACAGCTCAATTAATATTAAAGTGAAATTCCATCTTCCGTTTTCTGTCCTCATTGACGCCCAGCGGTGAGTGTAATACATTCACTGGTATTGCATTAGTTCATAGAAGCTTCTCTACAGTAATCATTCATATACGTTATGTGGTGGACAGAAGAAGCTCATGAGATGAAGACTGAAACATCTAAACTACAGAACCAAACTCCCGTCGGCTGGTGGCTGAACCCTTTTAGGATAAGCTGAGAGCCTGGAGCAGGGATCCCAGGACCTTCATACTCTGAGCATGCAGAAAGCTTCTGGACTGCTCCAGATCTGGCTGCTGTTCTGATTCTTCTCTAAGACCTCTAACTGAAGAGCAGAGGCTGCTCCTTCACTCAGTACAGAAATAGGATCAATCTGAATCAGGTGGATGTGCTTCACCGCTGGAGCTGGAAGATGATCAGACGATCTCTGAATCTTTGCTTATTTGCACCAGTTTTCTTTACCTCCTGTAGCTCCTTCTGAAGCAAAGCTGTTGTAGCTCCTTCAGCAGCTTCCTGTTCCCGCCTCTCCTGCTCCATCAGAGAGGCAGTTCCGAGCTCCTCCAGAAGCCTGACCACATTTTTCTTTTGCTGTCTCTGCTCAGAAGTTTCTTCCTGGACCTCCTGCACAGAATCACACAGGTATGCTGTGAGCCTACGATCTCTGAAACCAACAGGATGGAGCCCAAAAACCAAACTTCACCTCCGTGTCCAACAGGGGGCACTGCTGCAGGCTCTGGTCCAGCAGGCACATCTCTCTGGAGGCGTAGCCGCTGACGCAGTAGGCGTGGTAGTTCCGGACCAGCAGCATGCTGCAGAGCAGGGTGGCGGATTCGAAACAGGTGGCCTTCTGACTGCGCAACACATATGTGGGGGAGAACAGCTGTCTGGGCTGCAACGAGAGGTCCACATGTTAGAATCTGAAGACCACGGAGGTGTTATCTCAGTGTCAGGGTGGAAAGGCTCAACAATGAGCTTCCACAAAGAACTGATGCTCATCTCAACGTGAGAAGGCTTATGAGGCTGTCTGCTCACTATTTAGAGAGATCAGGACTTTTTCTGGTGGATAGTTTAAAGCCAGCTGGTGATTAAGAAGTGAATGTCCCTGAAAGGTCAGAGGTCAGAGCAGGCAGTGCTCAAAAGGATGGCAGACCACCCAGGAGATGATGGCAGAAATCAGCTCAGACCAATGACCTGCTAACAGCTGACGTTCAAAATATGTAAAAACTACAATCAAAACGTCTGCTGGTATCAGCCGTGTGATTGGCTGCTGGCTACAACACCCAGCTGTCAGGTGGAAGACCCTCCCCTTATTTCATTCTCTGTGTGCCGCAGAACAGAAACACACTGTCCCACAGCATAACACCCCCACCGCCATGTTTGGCACAGTTTGAGTGTGTGGCGCTCTCGCTCAGTCTCTGCCTGCTCAGACCGGGAAGGTTTCGCTGTAGGACATCCAGCTCAGCAATGAGGACAGCTGCTGTTTCAGTTGAAGCTGCTGACATCATTGCTCTGCTCTTCCAGCCTCATGCAGGAGCTGGTTGGTGTCCTTATGATACTGTATGGAGCCCAGAAACTGAAGGAGAAGCTTAACTCTGTTCTTGTTATCCTTCTAGACAGGAGGAGAGTTAAGTCAAAGCATCCAGGTTCATTCCTGTGTCACACTGACTGCGTATAAAGAGGGTCCAACTGGGCAGGGTGGGCAGATCTGAGTAGATTTTTTTTTTACTTCTGTCTCTGTGCTATACGCCCATTGGTTAGTTTAAAAAACAGCAGTGGTGCATTCTATAAAGCAAAGCTCCACTTAACGAGTCTGTGCAGCATCTCAAACCAGAACAGATAGAGAATGTTCATATATTAAAAACATAATGAGATCTAGGTATAAAGAAAAGAAAAATCCAGCAATAAACGCGGTGGGATGGTTTCTATGCTGACTGAGGCAGAGAGGTGATTCTCAGAGAGAGATCTGGGAAGTTTTTCTTTCTTTTTTTTCATAAAGAGGTTAGAGAGATACGCTGCGCTTACCTGCCCCAGATAAAGTCACTACTTTATCTGTTTTCTGTCTCCCTGAACTCCTATCATGGATTTAGTTTTCCATTTTAATGTTTCATTCACTATTTTTACACCAGTCTTTCCTGCTTACTATAAGGGCGACTTCAAGCTGACTCTTTCCCCAGCAGATTAACAGATTTTACTTTGTATTTTCCCCCAAATTGGATGGATTTTACTTTGTGACCACATCTCTCCTCCTGTCAGTCAGACCCATTAAATTGCTGCTAAGTTGCTGCATAGTCAGACTAAAAGAGACCTGGGCTCTCTCTTAGTCGAGCGGCGCAGCCCCCTGCAGGAAAAAACATCCCCTTTGATTTTCAATGAGCACTAAAAGCCACGACCTCTGAGGCACGATTTTCTGTTGGATCGGATGCAAAATCGGATTCGGTGTGTTTTGGCCTTAGCTATGCCCGAAGCAAGAACTGTTTGTCTGACGGTTTTTAATTCTGACTGAATGATGATACATGAGAAGCGATGTTGCAAGGTGCTGCTCCATACTGACCAACTCAGTCGGCGGCTCCAGAGGCTGCAGGGACAGGAAGTCGGCTACGAAAGAGGAACAGTCCTGCCAGCAGAAGAGGTCATAAAGGTTCGAGGCTGTAGGCTGAACCGTGGTGGATATGAACTTCTGAAAGGAAGACAGAATCCAGAGGAATCAGACCCGGAGCAGGGGGCAAAGGTCAAACTGCAGGGAGGGCTCATCCTTACCCTGACGCCACACTCATTAATGGGGCAGAGCAGCAGAGGTTTCCTCTCAGGATACAGGCACAGATACTGCTGCTGGAAGTTATCTACGATTTCCAGCAGCTGCTCCTCCTTTGGGGAGTTGATCCTGTAGGATTCAGGCCTGCAGAAGGACAAAAAGAGGCCCCTGATCAAACACGGTAAAATGCTTCCAGAGTGAAACCAAACTTTCTGTCCCTGTTATCGTCACATCCACAGAGCCTGAAGATCTACTGGTCAGTGAGAGAAAAAATCAAATCCTCCAGATGGACCTAAGGTTAACATCTCCTTTGATAAAAAGACGCTGCAGCCGCTGTGACCAGCGATGGATTAAACTGCTGTTGGTCTATGTGATGTACATCTATACCTGCCTTATCTTAAACAGACTCTGAACATCAGCTAATGGTCATTGCAGGAGTTACTCTGAAGGCTCACATGAGCTCCTCTGAAAGCTGCAGCTTGCTGAGATCCTCCTGCAGCTTCTCCATCTGCCTGCCTGCTCCAGTTGCCTCCATGGATGTTAGCTGGAATCTTAGGGGTCTGCAGAGGTTCCACATCACAAACCCAGAAAAAAACAAAGCAGATTGTTACATCAATGATCCTTTTCTCTTTAATGCAGCTTTGAACAAGACAGAAGCAGCTTAACCCATAGAACTACAGCTAATAGAACACACTTAAATCTCTGTAGCTCCTTATCGGACTGAAGGGAACATTTTATTATTGAATTATCTACAGAGGTGTCAAGTAACAAAGTACAAATACTTCATTCCTTTACTGAAGTAGAAATATTGGCCGCCTATACTTTACTAGAGTAATTCTTTTTCAGGCAACTTTTTACTCTACTCATTACATCTTTTAGCTATTATCTCTACTCTCTACTCTTTAGATTTTAAAAATAGACTCATTAGTTTTGTTTCATTTAAACTAATTTTCATTATGGCCTGTTGGTATTTAAAAAAAAAGTAAAAACATAAAAAAAAAAAAAAAATATTTGTTTCTTCCAGGCAATTAATGTCTCTGTAGTTGGACTCGGTACTGCCCCAACTTGTTGTTCACCACATACCTAAATCAATAGTTTTGATGCAAAGTTAAATTTGACTCTGTTACAATTAGTTATAAAACTAATAAAATGAAGTCTAAGGAAGCTTTCATCCAGAATTGTAGAAAACATTTTCCTTTAATAGTGTAGTGCTGGAAAGCTTCTGTCTTTAACATTTTATCCTGCATTACTTTTACTTTATACTTTAAGTAGTTTTAAAAATGATACTTTTACACTTTGAATGGATCCTCTAACTTCTACAAGATTGTCTTTAAACAGCAGGATTTATACTTCTACTGGAGTAATAAACATTAATGCTTTTTACACCTCAGGTTTGTTTTAGAAAATGAAAATAACGATCAATCCTCAGAGGTATATTTCAGATTCAGTTTTTCCTGCATGAGGAGCCGCTCCAATTACATCCCATAATAATTCAAACAGCAGACAGCCGCTGGGCTGAGATACCCATTACGTTCATTTAGCTCTAAAGAAAACGGATTAAATGAGGCGGATGGAAAGGTTGTGCTTTTTGTAAACATATATTTCTAATATTAATTCACCAGAATTTGGTTTTAAGGCTTACTAGACTAGATGTTGGCTTTTTAGACTAAATCTAGTCAGTAGTCTGGATTTAGTCCAGAAATAGTTGAAAACTGGGCTGTTTAGTCGCTCTGATTTTGTCCCACTACAGTTCAATAACAGACGTCGAAAAGACGTCAAAAACTGGGTTTTTAATGTATGATCAATGATCTGATAATTATGGCTTTTGATCTTTCAATTTTAAATAAAATTTAGACATCGTTAAGGTGTAAATCACGTCTTTTCAACAAATTCCGTGTCGTTGGGAACTTTTTTGAGATTCCAAATGCACTAATGAAGGTTAAATCCCAGGAGAGACGAGATCATCATGGCGGATGGGCTCCGACAACAACTTAAGTGACTTACAGGAGAAAAAGAAGCAGGTGAATGAGTTTAAAACAGTTCATCAATAAAACATTTATAGGTTTCTATGACAACATAAAGGTAGAGGTTATGGAGAGGTCAGGATAATGTAAGGAAGGTCGAGTAAACAGCTGGGCTGGAGGTAACTACACTGAAAAAAACAGCTCATAAGAGTTACTTAAAAAATATATTGTCAATATTTGCACTGAAATGATTTAAGTAAAATTGAATGCTGCAATATCAAGTAACACTCACTTGCCAGTATCAAGTGAATTTTACTTTCCATTAAACATAACAGTTGTGAAGATATTAAGTAACCTCTACTTAATTACATCCAAGTTGTAAGCTAGATTTATTTAAAAAATTGAGTAAAGTGAACTTGCATTTTACTCAATATTTTAAATAAATGTTATATCCCTGTAGAATTTTCTGTTATGAAGTAATTAAGTAGATTTTAATTATTTTCTCTGATTGACATTTACTTTGCTTCATTATGTTACATTACTCTCTAATATTAGGTAACCATTGCCATTTTTCTTATGGTAAATGTTACCAAATAAATTGAAATAAAAGTCTATATTCATTTTATGTACCATCCATCCATTTTCTTACACGCTTGTCTCGAGTGGGGTCTTGAGGGGTGCTGGTCCCTCTCTCCAGCAGTCAATGGGCGAGAGGCGGACAGGTCCATCGTAGGGAAACACAGAAACAAACAACCATTCATGCACACTCACACCTAAGGACAATTTAGAGAAGCCAATCAACCTAACAGTCATTTGGAGATGTGGGCAGTTTTGGTCTGTGAAAGGAAGCCGGAGTACCCGGAGAGAACCCACGCATGCTCAGGGGGAACATGCAAACTCCATGCAGAAAGACCCTGGGCCGGGAATCAAACCCAGAACCTCCTTGCTGCAAGGCAGCAGTGCTATCCACTGCACCAATCTCTCATGGGCCAGCAAGAAATTTGACAGTCTAACTGGAATTGTACTATTCAAATAGGCAATAAAAAAGTAAAACCCTCTAAAACTCAGTTTCAAGATTCATTACAGAAATGTACTCATGTAAGATCAAGAATATTTAACCTACACAAACATGCTCAAAATAACCTCTGGGCGAGGATCAGAACTGAAACAGCCATTTAAACTTTGAGCAGTGGAGTATAGATTATGTATGCCTCCTATTTAAATGAAAAAAACATGTACAAATATTGCATTATTGTTAAGTGCATTTTGTTGTACTGCATTAGAATTTATACAGAAAAAAAGAGAAGTTTGGTATGACTTGTAAACAACAAGTACACAGTATTGCATATATACCAACACAGGTCTGGTAATTAAAACATTTTTATTAATAAAAGAACACCTTGTTTTCCCTTCACTTTTTTTTGGCTTATCGCATAAAATCCATGTGAAACACACTGAGGTTTGTCATTCTATTGTGACAAAATGTGTACTAATCTGACTCTTCATCTTGCAATAAACATCCCATCATAAACCTTGGGCAAAGTTCTTCACAGACTGGGATGCATTTTAATTTAACTGCAAATCTGCTCACTGTTCTGCATTTGGAGATGTGGGCAGTTTACGTAACTTGCTGTACATTTAGGAAAAATCAGTTTGTACGACATCCCTCAGGATGCTGTTCTGAGGTTCAGGGTTTCTCTGTCTCAAACACATTTTGATTCGTTACACAGTTAAGACAAATACTTTGAGATTATATATATATGTCTTTAGTCCCCCCCCCCCGTTTAGATTTTAGCTGTTTCTCATCTGAACTCAATTACTTCTTATAGTTACTGGAAACTGTTGTGAAAGTAACAGTTAATATAGTCACCACTCAAACCAGCAATAAAAATCTTACAAACCTACATACAAAAAGTACAATTTCAACATTTGAACCAGGCGTCTAGACAAGTGTATTTTGAAGAATGCAATTTCGACAATGAACCAAAATCATTCTAACCATTCTCAATGAACATAAAAATCTCTACTAAATATTTGAACATATTATTTTTTGCAAAATAACATACCTTGTTTGGAAAAAAAATAAAACATTAATGACAATGCAACCTTGCACTAAAATAAACTGGAACCCACTTCTAATTCTTGGCATTTGATGCCACATTTGCCTCCTCTAAATACCGAAAAGGATCTGGAATTTACCAGGACACATTAAATAGAGAAGCCACGGACCGGTATGTTGACAAAATCAGCATTATTAATAATTTGGATCCATATGAAGTTCCAAACAATGAGAGGAGCAATGACGAGTGAGCGCCTATACTTCAAAACAGTTCCTAAGCTACAAGTCCTTGGAGTCTCGTGCAGTTCATGAATGGATGGGTTCAGGAGCTGCAGATCATAAAGCCAGCAAACAGTGGGAACACAGTAATCATAACAAAGGTAAGCTATGATCAGACGGGCTCTGGAAATAGTAATTAGTAACGTTAACTGCCAAGCCAACCCTCCCTAAACCCTTCGGTTTCTCACGTATTTGAGCCTTTTCCCGCTGCCGTTTTTATTATTTTCCTGTAAAAGATCCCAACCTTGAAGGAAAGAAACAATGTAGGCCAGGGGTGTCAAACTGGTTTCAGAAAGGGCCGTGTGGCCGCAGGTTTTCTTTCCAACCAAGCAATAGCACACCAGATCCAAGTCATCTCATCAAGTAAGTAAAATCTAAACATGATGACCTGATGAGAGGAATGAAGTCTGGTGAACTATTGCTTGGTTGGAAAGAAAACCTGCAGCCACACGGCCCTTTCTGGAACCAGTTTGACACCCCTGATGTAGGCTATAAAATAAAACCGTGCATCTTTAACTTACCAGAATGAAAATGCAGGAAACACACTCTCATTGACATCGGGATACTGTGGAAAGTTATGTTCGGTCGTCCTACAGCCGCGATCCAAGCTAGCCGACGACTCTTTATCTCTGACACTTGGTCTCCGTGGTTACGCCTCCAGGCAGAAAAGCGGTGGAAAGTTAACCCATTTTCTATGTTTTTCCTATGGCGATCATGTGTTGTGCCGTTACAGCCCACAATACAGCAACGGTTTACCAAGGTTGAAATCAAGTTAAGGTGAAATTAATGAAATTAAAACATGGCTGAGAGGGAGTACAATACGCAGTAGTCATAGGCAGTAGTCTGAACAGCGGTAAAGGAGGCCATCAACATGGCGGACACGCAAAGTAATTACGTCATGACGCCCAAGCCCTACAAGGATGGAGACATTAACGGGATGCTCATCAGCACCATGCAGAACAACAATCTTGAAGATATGTTTGTAGAAGTCACACAGGTTGTCTTCCTGCATGTAATGCACAACAGAAAATAATTTTTATTCTTTTATTTGAGAAACAAATAAAAGAGCTGTGTGAATCAAAGTGACTTATTTGTCATGGAAGAATGAACACAAGAATACCTCTGTTTGTTTGACTACTCTCTTCTTAACTTGAACATTTAAAGGGACATTGTGTAACATCTACTGTTAAAACTGTTAGAAAAATTAGCGTTTGTGCTGTTTTGGTTTCTGAGATATTATCAATTCTTGGCTCTGTTCGAAAACCTGGGCTGCATCCTCCAAGGACGCGGTCTAC